CTTCTACAGTGCATAATGATTTGGAAGAGATACTTTAGAAACTAAGCGTGTCGTGCAATTTCTAGGAAGCACTAACGCCCAGAGAAATTTCTATTCTAACAGCCTTCTGAAGACTGAGGTTGCATGAGTCATACCTATGAGCCCGTGCATAGAGAGCGGACGGCTTCAAATTTTATTTAACACTTTGTTCTTCGAAGCGAGTCTCTGAGATGTGCAGTGGCGTCTGTGCAAACCATTCCCAAGAAACTGCTATCAAAGCGATACAGTACCAAACGTTCAAGTAGGAATTTCTCCCTTCCATCAAATAATGATGGATGTGAGCACTTAGCCAACAAACCCCAAACCAAGTCTTTGGTCCAGGGAGCGAGAGAGTCCGTTCAACTCTCCAACAGCTCTTACCACCAGAAAGCTTTTCCTGAAGTTTAGTCAAAATCTCCTTTCTTGTAACTTGAAACCTTGGGTTCGAGTTCTGCCCTCCAGAGCAGGAGAAAACAAGCTTGTTTCCTCTCTCAAGTGACAACCCTTGAGAAGCCTATCACATCTCCTCTCTGTCTCCTCTTTTCCTGTTAAACATACCCAATTCCCTCAACTGTTCCTCATCAGGCTTGGTTTTCAGGCCTTTGATCATCTTGGTTGGCCTCCTCTGTACATGTCCCAGCTTGTCCACATCCTTCTTCAATTGTGGTACCCAGAACTGGAAACAATAGTGGTGTGGTCTGACCAAGGAACAATAGAGCAGTACTTTCCTTTGACCTGTCGATGCAGCCTAGAATAGCATTAGATTCTTTTGCTGCTGGATCACACTGTTGACTCGTGCTAAGCTTGTGGTCCCCTAAGATCCCTAGATCCACAAGACCAAGACAAAATATGGAATGGCCCTTACCAGCAGCCCTAAGAGCCCACCAGAGTTTAGGAGGAAGAGTAACAGGAAGGGTGACATGTTATTTTAGAGCATACAAGTCAACTCCTAGGGGCTGAGGTCTTTTCAGCCCCGCCAATAAATTATTTGTGAGGGCCTAGCCTCCCCAAAGTTGATGGGCATTGCCATTCAAATGGTGTGTGATCAGTGATGTGGGGGGCATGGCTTATCTGCACCCCGCAATATTTTATTCAAGTCCCCCCCCCCGTTTTAGAGAACGGATTGTCAGTTTCTGGACGTGCATAAAGAGGTGCGCCACCTTCTCCAAAGTGCGCCAACCTCTCTCGTGTGCTGTTATTATTTACTTGGGAAAACTTGCAAACCGCTTAATCCAAAAGAAATACAGTCATACCTTCTTTCTCGAACGGCTTAGCTGACGAACAAATCAGCTCCCGAACGCCAAAAACCGGGAATTAAGTGTTCCGGTTTTCGAACGTTTTCCGGAAGCTGAACGTCCGACGCGACTTCTGTTTAACTGCGGGAAGCTCCTGCAGCCAATCGGAAGCCGTGCCTTGGTTTTCGAATGGTTTTGGGAGTCGAACGGATTAAGTTTGAGAAGCAAGGTTCCACTGTACATCTCTAGGCAGGGTATATAAAGCACAGATAGAAACCAGCAGATTATTTTTTTAAAAAAAAACACTAGTGTATATATAACTAAACGATGTGTCTGGGTAGCCTTCCCAGCATGGAGTGACATTTTTAGAAGAAGTCGTAAAACAACATAGCAAAGGTGCCTGTCCAATGTTAATAGGAAGGCAGTTCAGGTCCTGCTCCGAGGTTTCCCATCGCCGCATCTGGCTGGCTGCTGGATTGGATGGGCCCCTTATTCTGAATAGGATTCCTCGCAAGAAAAGGGAAAAGTTGACAGCTACGAGCCGGACTCCTCTCTGCACTTCAAGACAGACGCCTCACAGCTGTGGGCCAAGCGTTACACGGCGCATGTTTGGGCTCAGCAGGTGATGGGAGTCACGTAACTTGCAGCTTCCGAAAGCAGCAGGGGAAACGGCCTTAGACCAGCCGGGGAAAGCTAAGAGCAAGGGGCCGGCATCCTCTATTCATTCCGGCGAGGGTTTTTTTTCCTCTGCAGTCGAACAATGCTAATTCACAAGGGCAGGATTTTTCGAATAGCAGAGAGGCAAATAATGGCACAATCGATTGCGTAAACAGAATAGCAAGACAGGGGCGCAGCGGGGGCACAATGAGAAGGGCCGGCATTCTGGCATTCCTCCATGCACACCCCCACGGGAAGGTGCTAAATTTAGCTGCCCCTCATATCGCCTCACCTCGCCCTGCGTCCACCTCCCCACCTAACCCTCCAGGGGCCGTCGGGCTTATTGCATTGTCAGCGCCGGCATATCTCAAGGTGCAGAGAGAAGAAAGCACCTCGTGGAAGGGTGGAACGATATACATCACAGTTTGTGGGAGAGAAACTGTGGAGCTAATGCAGGAGCTAATGCAGATGAGTCAAAGAGGTGGTTTCTCCCTAGGCGGAGAAGGGCAGCCTAGCCAGAGAGAGAGAGAGAGAGAGAGATGCGCTACACAGGGCCACAGAAACATACGAAATTGCTTTATGCCAAATCAGAGCACTGGTCCATTTAACTCAGTGTGGTCTACAGTGACTGGAAGCAGTTTTCCAGCTGAGCTACTGTCATGGACTGGTTGGATGAAGAGGAGTGGGAGGGAGCCAACAGCTGAGAAGTGCCAAGGGAAGAAAGCTCGGAGCCAGGGGGTTAGTGATGGGTCGACAATGCGTGGTCGGAGGGAGAAGAGGGAGCAGACTGGGAGGAAGAGGCAGCAGGCTTTCGTGAGCTGGGAGAGTCTGTGGCAGAGAGCAGTCCAGAATTAGAGGCAGAAGCTGAAGCAGGAGAGAGGAGAGGCCAAGAGGCGGAGATGAGGCTGAAGAATCCAGGGAGTCTCCCACTCCTGCTGCAACCAGCTCCCCTCCCCAGTGGTCTCCCAGAACCAGAAGAGGTATGAAAAGGGAGGAACAAATTCAGGCATGGCGGCATAGTCTCAGATTGCTTGGGAAGGACCAGGGAAGGGAGGAGACTTAGGGAACTGTGGGATCTTCAGTCTCCACAACAGGGGCAAGGTCGACCAATTCGAGCTGCTGAGCTCACTAGGCCTGACCTCCTGCACAAACTTTGTTTCCATGAGTAAACAGTTAACTTCACTGATGCCTTGTGATTTCTTGCTGACCTGCTCCTGACAGCTACAGCCTTTTCTTTCAATTTTAAGAACAAAGGAAGTGCTTTATACTGGACCAGGCCATTGGGGCATCGAGCTGACTGGCAGCAGGGGTTCAGATGGGCTTTACAGGGGGCTACCAATGTGATGCCCAAGGGCACATCTGCAGAGGCCTTCCTGGTGCCCACAGCGTCCCCTTCCCCCGCCTTTCCTCTTGCTGAAATTAGGCATGGAGGCAGCATTCTGTTGCAGGCAATTGAAGAGATTTGTGGTATGTGCTTGGTTGTAGAGTGTGTGTGTGTGTGTGTGTGTGTGCGCGCAATTCTCACAAGTTTCCCCCATCTAGAAATGTATCCATAGGCCCAAAATGTTTGACAACCCCTGGCACGGAACGAGATTTCCCAGAAGCTCAGGCACCTGCTGTTGTGCTAACACAGTCAGCAAACATCGCAGATGGAAGCGAAGACAAGTGGGACGTTATGGGGGAAATTATGTATTGTAAAAATGATGCAGACGACTCTTTGTGCCTCTGTTGTGCCCGTGCTTTGTTCTCCTCCTGATGCGATCAACTGTACCATTAAACACCTTGTTGCATATAGAAACATGACACAAACGCACATGCAAACAGAGTTTCAAATAAAAAAACCTTCCAATTCTTCTGCAAATAGAAAGCAGCCTGTGTCTTCAAAATTGACTTCCGTAGCCTTAGGTGTGTGTTTTTTGTGGGGGGAGAGCGTTCTGTTAAGTCTTAACACTTTAGGGGCTAATTCAGTGTTTCCCAGCTTTATACAAATTTCTCTCTGGGAAGATGGAAGTATTTTCCAAGCGTGCCAGGAAAAGGATACTTTTTTAAGGGCAGCCTCTTTACCCATCTCTCCCTCTGCTTAGGCCAGCCCACCCAGTCTTGGTGCAACTTGTATTAGTCGCATGGTCACACCTACAGAAGTGAGGACAATTCCTGTTTGAGTTCAATAAACACACCCCAAAGAGTCTTCCCATTTTGAACACTCATGCGCCGTCACACAACAGAGTCCTCTAACAGGTGCCAAGACTACCGCCTTGTGCAAAATGAGAAATGGCCCCGTTCTCGTTCACACAACACTGTAAACCATGGTTAAGCTTAACTATGGTTTAAAGGTGAACACACAGCCTGGTGTTGCACGGGGAGAAGATCACAGCCGCTACTTGGAGTTGAGACGTGTTTTGGTTTAGTGTTAACATCCAAACAAAGGCTTGTTGGGAGAGGGACAAACCATGAGCCTGGGCTTGGACACAAGGTTCAATCAAACCATGGTTTAGTTGCCAGTAGCGTGGCGGCAGCAGGACCAGAGAAGGAGCAAAGGAGGGACAATTTTCTCCCCATCACCAACACAATGGTATCCACCTTTAAGCCATCGTTAAGCTTAAAAGGTAAAGGGACCCCTGACCATTAGGTCCAGTCGTGACCGACTCTGGGGCTGTGGTGCTCATCTCGCTTTATTGGCCAAGGGAACCGGCGTACAGCTTCCGGGTCATGCGGCTAGCATGACTAAGCCGCTTCTGGCGAACCAGAGCAGCGCACGGAAACGCCATCTACCTTCCCGCCGGAGTGGTACCTATTTATCTACTTGCACTCTGACGTGCTTTCGAACTGCTAGGTTGGCAGAAGCAGGGACCGAGCAACGGGAGCCCACCCCGTTGCAGGGATTCAAACTGCCGACCTTCTGATCGGCAAGTCCTCGTCTCTGTGCTTTAACCCACAGCGCCACCCGCGTCCCATCGTTAAACTTAGCTGCGATCTAAAAAGTGATGTGCAAAGCAGGCCATGGAAAACAATTTTACAACCAGGCGGGAATTTATGAGAGAGAGAGACACACCAAGATGGTCTCAGGTATGAAGGAGGCAGCATCCTTACCTGTAACGTTCTGTTGTACATCCAAGTTGACATTCACAAAGAACCTGATGCTGTCCCCGGAGACAATCGAGGAATTGACGGTGTCAAAAAGTTCTTCACCCCCGACTTCTTCTTTGTTCTCACAGCCATCGTCCGTATCGCACTTAAGGTAGCCTGCAACAAGAGAGAGACTGTTTTATTCCTCACTCTCCGCCACACATCTCAGGGAATCAAAGCAAAGTCTTATCAAGGTGTTTTTTGCAAAGGCAGAACAAAGCAGCCATTTTTGCTCTCGGCAGAACCATGTTGTTCCCACCAGGCACGTTCCAAGCGTATTCTCTGAGCGGGTCAAAGGAATTTCGGACTCAGGAGGGAGAAATAAGAAAAAGGTACCAGAGCTGGGAGGAGAGGTGCGTTTGGGGCTCGAATGAGAATTCTGTCCTGGCTCGTTCGCAGCTGCCTTTATTTTGCAATAAATTGGCTTCGTGTAACTTAAAGGCTTACCGAAGCTTGCCTTTTGTAATTGCTCCTTGAAGTCAAGAGGGTTAGAAACTTAAAAGAAAAGAAGAGAGAAAGCAGAGAGCCTCCACATTTTAATGAAATCTTGTTCCAGGATTTTGGGAAAAGACCAAGAGGAAGATTCAATAAAATGAACACTATAAAGGGAGTTGGAGGATTGGAAGGGCCTTATACAGAATCAGGCCACGGGTCCTTCTGGCTCAGAACTGCCCACACTGGCTGGCAACAGCTCTCTGCGGTTTCAGGTCTTTCCCCCAGCCATACCTGGAAATGGCAGGGATTGAATCAGGAACCTTCTGCATGCAGAACAGATGCCCAACCATTTTACTATAGCCCTTGTCCTTGCAAAAGGGATCAACGGAATACAGTGGTACCTCGCAAGACGAAATTAATTCGTTCCGCGAGTTTTTTCTTCTTGCGAGTTTTTTGTCTTGCGAAGCACGGTTTCCCATAGGAATGCACTGAAAATCAATCAATGCGTTCCTATGGAAACCGCCTTCAGACCAGGTCTGGGGACAGTCTGTCCCCCGACCTCTTCTGAAGGCTGGGGGGGGGGAGAAGGGCTTTTCTTCCCACCGCCAGCCTTCAGAAGGCTGTTCTGAAGGCTGGCGGTGGGAAGAATAGCCCTTCTCCCCACCTCCCGCCCCGCAAGCTCCGGGGACAGGAGGGCTTTGCTGCCGACCGCCAGCATTCTAAAAGCCCCCGGGACAGTGGAGACTTCTCCGCTGTCCCGGGGCGATTTTAAAATACTGGCGGGCGGCAGCGAAGCCTCCGCTGTCCCGGGGCGATTTTAAAATGCTGGCGGGCGGCAGCGAAGGCTTCGCTGCCGCCTGCCAGCATTTTAAGATCGCCCGGGACGGCGGAGAAGTCTCTGCCGTCCCGGGGGCTTTTAAAATGCTGGGGGTCGGCAGCGAAGGCTTTGCTGCCGCCCGCCAGCATTTTAAGATCGCCCGGGACAGCAGAGAAGTCTCCGCTGTCCCGGGAAGGCAGGCGGGGGGAGCAAAGACTTTTGCCCCCCGCCGGCCTTCAGAAGAGGTCCAGGACCTCTTCTGAAGGCCGGCGGTGGGCAAAAGTCTTTGCCCCCCCCCGCCTGCCTTCAAAAGCCGTCGGGATAGCGGAGAAACGTGCTGCGCTTCTCCACTATCCCGGGAAGGCAGGCGGTCGGGAGCAAAGACTTTTGCCCCCCGCCAGCCTTCAGAAGAGGTCCAGGACCTGATTGGCTTCTGATTGGCTGCAGGAGCTTCCTGCACTCAAGCAGAAGCCGCGGCGGACGTTCGGCTTCCGAAAAACATCTGCAAACCGAAACACTTATGTTATGTACTGAGTTAAATAGGATTCAAAATGCAGCGGTCTGATTGGTCCTAGAACAATAGGATTCAGAATGCAGCAGTCTGATTAGTCCTAGAACAATAGGATTCAGAATGCAGCAGTCTGATTGGTCCTAGAACAATAGGATTCAGAATGCAGCAGTCTGATTGGTCCTAGAACAATAGGATTCAGAATGCAGCAGTCTGATTGGTCCTAGAACAGTAAGATTCAGAATGTCGTAGTCTGATTGGTCCTAGAACAATAGGATCCAAAATGCAGCAGTCTGATTGGTCCACAGGAGCCACCCAATCCAGCTCTAGGTGGAAGTGAATCCGCAACCTGATTGGCCTACAGGTGAATCCCTGAATTAGCCAATCACGTGGGGCCCATTGTGTAAATAATGTATATAATGGGGGAACTTCCATTCCTCCTCACCACTATGAGCTGAATAAAGAGCATGAAATCCACTCTCGACTCCGAGTATATTTTAACTTACTTCCGGGTTTTTGGCTTTCGGGAGCCAATTTGTCTGTTAACTAAGCCGTTCGAGAACCAAGGTACCACTGTATTTCCACATGCACATCACTTTTCTTCCATCTTGGAACCCAGGGCAGCAGCTTATGGTTCCCTCGCCACCTCCCACTGCACAGACTCAGACCCGGCTTCCTCCCTGAAGTATAGCTACTACGTTTAAGCAGGAACCCTTGAGGAAATCTGGTTTCCGTGCGTTCCGACGGGAACCGATCCATGCCACACAAAGACAGCAAGCATCCTTTTAAGGCTGCCATCTTCAGGCTGGATTCTGAACACGTCCTTGGACAACTAGGCTGCTCCGCGTCGGTCGCCAGAAAGGTTCCGTTTCAACATTTCCCACTCGCTCCTATTACATCATGTAACGCATGTTCAGCGTACAGAGTTTGCTGCTGCAAAGAGGAGACAGAGACAGCCTCCAGCTGAGGTGGCTTTGAAAGGCAGGTGAGGAAAACTTCACTCGTACATGTTCATCTCACTGGTGATTGGAGGAGATGGGTATTGGTCTAATGCAAAACAGGTAGCTCGTCTTAAGAGCACGCACTGAGCCACAGTATCCCAAGCTACCCGGAATGAGAACTACCAGGAATTTTTGAGATACGGACACACAGGGCTTTGATTGCAGAAACGAAACTGGGGGTGAAGCATCACACCTAGACTGCCAGCTGGATTAAATTAATTAGAAGTGTCTCTCTTTCGCTCGCTTTCTTTAACCTCTTGCAAGCACAAATTATTGTCTTGATGCAGACATGCCGCAGTGAATTGGCTCTAAAGGACTAAGCAGCCCAAGCAGTCTTGCAACATGCAATTGCTCTAATAATAGGAGGTTCGCAGGCTTTTTTGATAAACAACCACTCCTGGGGAAAGCGAGCTAATGTTTCAGGCATCACCTAGTTTTTAAACAATGTGGGGATCTGTTTGTTCTTTGGTTACGGGAGGGCAAAACGTGGGTGGAGCACAAGAACTACCACCGTGTAGCTGAGGAAAGGTGGGGTGCAAAAGGCAATAACAAAAAAAAGTGATTTAGTTAGAGAAATATTTCTATACCGCCGTAGCATGAAATAAATAATAATAGTATTTTATTTATATCCCGCCCTCCCCAGCTGAAGCCGGGCTCGGAGCGGCTAACAACAATAAAAGTAACACAGTTTGCATAAAATCACAGTCAATTAATTGAAATGCATTCTAAAATCAATTCATTCTAAAATCAATTCAGAATCAAATTAATGGCAACCATTGGGCTAGAGTTCTGTGAGGATTACCAAAGGCCTGGTGGAACAGCTCTGTCTTGCAGGCCCTGCGGAAAGATGTCAAGTCCCGCAGGGCCCTAGTCTCTTGTGACAGAGCGTTCCACCAGATCGGGGCCAGTACTGAAAAGGCCCTGGCTCTGGTTGAGGCCAGCCTAACCTCCCTGTGGCCCGGGACCACACTTTTATTTGAAGACCGTAAGGTCCTCTGAAGGACATACCAGGAGGGGCGATTCCCAGCGTCAAAAGGTAACATCTTTTTTCAAAGCTAGGGAAGGCAACCTTTTTGCTATTAAGAGCTGTATTCCTGGATGGCCCAGTTCAGTGGTTTTCAACCAGTGTGCCATGGTACCCTGGGGTGCCTTGAATGATGGTCAGTTGTGCTGCGGGCAACACTGTCCTCTGTCCCTCCATCCTTCCCTGCCTCCTCTGATTTTCTCTCACATCTCTGCCTCCCCTAAGGCTTGCACAGCTGTTTGTTGCAGCAGCCCTGGCCACAAGCTCCCCAGGCGAATGGCGTCTCTGGTGCTGGCCAGGGGGTGCTTCCCAGGCCGCTGTGGGGCAGTGTGAAGAGGCATCTCTCTTTGGGGCAAAGGGGGCAGCTTGGAGAGCAGGGGCAGCAGCAATGGCTGCCCAGAGGACTCCCAAGGAGAGGGGAGAGGAGGGAACACTCCACAAGGGAGGGTTTCAAAAAACATGATATGCTGCCAGCTCCACAGGCAAAGGGGTAACCTCACTGGGCTCCTGAGCCCCACAGGGAAGCCACAGAAAGCATGCAGTTGGTCAAGGGAGCCGTGGACCCAAAAAGGTTGAAAACCTCTGGCTCAGTTGGTTAGAGAGTGGTGCTGATAACACCAAGGTTGCAGGTTCGGTCCCTGTATGGGGCAGCAGTATTTTCCTGCCTTGCAGAGGGTTGGACTAGATGATCCTCAGGGTCTCTTCCAACTCAACCATTCAATAATAATAATAATAATAATAATAATAATAATAATAATAATAATAAATTTATTATTTATACCCCGCCCATCTGACTGGGTTTCCCCAGCCACTCTGGGCGGCTTCCAACAGAATATTAAAATACAATAACCTATTAAACATTAAAAGCTTCCCTAAACAGGGCTGCCTGTTGATTCCGTAAGTCAGGGGTGGGCAACCTAAGGCCCGGGGGCTGGATGCGGCCCAATCGCCTTCTCAATCTGGCCCGTGGACAGTCCGGGAATCAGCGTGTTTTTACATGAGTAGAATGTGTCCTTTTATTTAAAATGCATCTTTGGGTTATTTGTGGGGCCTGCCTGGTGTTTTTATATGAGCAGAATGTGTGCTTTTATTTAAAATGCATCTCTGGGTTATTTTGGGGGCATAGAAATCCGTTCATTATTTTTTTCCAAAATATAGTCTGGCCCACCACATGGTCTGAGGGATGGTGGACCGGCCTACAGCTGAAAAAGGTTGCCGACCCCAGCCATAAGCAATCCATTAGGGGTCTGCGTGTGGATTGTGGGTGGGGTACCAGAGAAGACAATGTGTGGGGCCACTCCTTTTCTCTTTCAGCCACCCCATTGCCTTTCT